TTTTTTTTTTTTTTTTTTTTTTTTTTTTTTTTTTTTTTGGTACTCGGGAACAAACTCAGGATTGTGAGGTAGGCGGCAGAACCACTGAGCCAAATCATACCTGGCCCTACATCATTTTTTAGAATTCCCAAGTTCACATCACTTAGGATACACGTGGCCTCTGCATGTGACACTGAGGGCACTTTAGCAATGTCAGCCCCATAGGAAAGACAGATAGCTGGGTACTAAATCTGACTCAGAAGTGGGGTGGGAACAACCAAAATTAAGCATCCTAATTTGTAAGTTGTGTACAGTCCTGCAAAGTAGGCTAAGAATACAATTTAGAAAGCATGAAAACAGGTCAGCCAACCCCTTGCTGTTTTGGTTTGAGCTGGATTTGATCAATCATTAGGACAAAATACTAACCACACACATTTAGCACAACTTGTATCAAGGAATTAGACTGAAAGCTTCCTCTTCCCATACTGAAGCTGTGTGGGTTTTATAATGTGTAACCGTTTGGTGTAGAATAAACACATAATTCTCCCTTGTATTTATCACTGGAAAAGGCATAAGGTAACCAAGATTATGTGATATAGAAAGAAGGAGCTCACAACTCTAGGTTATTTCCCAGGGACTTCTAGGTTAAGAATGAAATATGAATTCTCCCTTTATCAACCTTTAAAGCATAACCTTCATGACAGATTAAATGTCAGACTTGACCTTACTGTGTTACACAATAGTTAAGACAGTAGAAAAATGTTTTAATAGCCCCACACACAATGAACTTGTTTCCCACCTCCTGGAACAACTTATTTTATTGGACATAGAGCATTCAAACTCCAGGGCAACAACAGACAGGCTGCCATGAAAACGCAATTGGTGGGGAATGGGGCCCTTCTTTTTTCAGAGCATCATCTGTCTTCAGACAAGTTAGCATAGAAAGGGCTTAGCCTTTTCCCTTACTCTACAAATCTGCTGTGCTTAGGAACTATACAAAGGGATGAGTGTATTTAATGTGTGGCTGCATCCCAAAACCTCACATAGGCCTGGTGTACTATCTAGAACAAAGTATTTGGAAAGGGGTGGAGAAGGGTGGCAGATTAAGCAGCAAGGCAAGCTAGACCTGTAACTCTTCAGCTCCAGAAGCACCATGCAGAGTGCATGGCTTAAGCCCAGCTGTTACTCCCCTCCATACACTGGGTGTGTGTTTGTTGGGGGGACCTCACTGTAATAACCTCTGCCTCTCCTCATCTAGGTGCTATGATTTTGAAAGTTTCTACAGTGGACTGGAAGGCCATCCACTCATGGTACTGTAAATGACTTGAGGCAGATGGGGAATCATTTATATCTTACATGAATGTGTGTGTGTGTGTTACTTTTTTGAGAAATGTTCCTGCCATGTAGCCCAGATGGGCCCTGAACTCATAATGATCCTCTTGCCTCAGCCTCCCAAGTCCTGGGATCGCAGGCTTGTCTTTATATATTGCTACTAGTCAGAATAGCAAGGCTGAAAAGGAAAGTGAGCAGATCCAGGCTCAGCTTCCTTAAATGAACATTCAGTCCCTTCTCCAGCTCAGGGCGTGCCAGTTACTTGCTAGAGAGAGATCTGTAAGCCA